AAATCCATTGCCTTCAGCAAGAGTTCCAGTAGAACATCTACTACTTCTCCAGAGAAGGAAGAATATAACCGTCGAACATTCTTTAACAGCTTGTTTACCTGTTTTTTAGAAACTAATAACAGCCAGCAAACATGAAATGAGGATTTCTGCCAATTTGATAACTTCTTTCAGTAAAAGAAATTAATGGAAAAATGCTCGAAAATTTCATCCATATAATAAAAACTACATGTCCCATAGACAAATTTCACTTACTGTTTTCTATTTAACCGCAGGGCTTGCGAAACTCAAAATCTCATACTCACCACAAATACAATAAAACTGACATTAACCTCAAGTGTAACCTCAAGTTTAATGCATGTCTTATCCAAGACTTAGGGCCAAATTTACTTAACGGTAAAGAGCTTCCTACAAAGAACATTTACACAATTAAAAAAAAAAATGAACCTTTCTTTTACCACTTTTTGGTACGGATGAATTCGAAAAATATGACATAACTATGATTGCAATAAAATAGCCATCTTGAAAGCAATGGTAAAGAAACATTCTTATTGTATTTCCTATTGTTACCTTATGCCCATTGCCTTTGCTACTATGATAGCCGACAATACAAATAACACAATAGAACTAAAGAAATAGAATCAGAGTAACTGTAACCACAGAAGCAGTAACATTCTCAATAAGGTAAGACTAATTTTAGTAATGAAAGTCGGAGATCAGAGGTTTCCATCAGTGGTAACTAGCAAAAGTAGGAGATATACTGACTAGTAAGCAAGCAAATGGAATCCTAGCATAGTTAGCTTAATTTTTCATGTCAGGGTGTTAATTAAGGGAGGGAAATCAAATTGTAACTAGAAGCAGTTGAAAGAGGAGAACACATTGTTCTATTCATGAAGGTGAGGATTTAATGGGTGTGGAAAACTGTTGGTGATGAGGGCCATTGAAGAATGAAGACAGGATGTCTACAGCTAGTCAATAGTCAAATGACGTGTGCTAACAGAAGCTGAAAGTGAGTCCAAAGAAAAATATGTTTTTCATACCAGGCATTTTGTCATTCAGCCAAATTTCGTAAATACTCTTCAAAGATATCATGGAATAGACCAAAGAAAATTTACCTTCTGAACTCACACATCTCCTAGCTCTAATGTAATTTTCCAATCAGTTATGATTTTGGTGCGAACTTATTCCAATTTTGCCTTAGAGATACATAAACAGTTCAAGAATAGTACAGGAAATACTTCATATTGACAACTATTGTTTGATGAACACTTAGAAAATAGAAATATTTTTTCCAGTAAACACAAATCATAAAAAATTACAGCATTTTGTTGGAGACATGATCGGGAAGCTTTCAAGAAAAAATGGAGCATATGCACTTATGCATGACAGAGGAAATACCAGCTTATCCACTTTCTGACCTAGCAAGCTATTTTGTCTCCTGGTATCTGAGCAATCATTTTCTGGAATATAAACTTTTCTGTTTGGTAGGCCATATAGAATAAGGCATGCCTTCCAAAATTTTGATTAAAACAACTAAGTTGACATCTAATCTTCTTCAGCATGCATTGAGTTTAGATATGGAAAACTCAAATAATTTTCCAAACCATGGATTGTCAAGTGTTCATTTACAGTTAACAGATTTACTCACCAGAAGATTTAGAATTGGTATGCTTCATGGCCATTAAAGAGAGAAATTTGTTAGGCCCATGAAGACATTCTAAATGCTTAAATCCTGAAAAAGCATCAATGTAAATTATATAAGAATATAATCATTGACAAAGAATAATCCAACAAGGGAAGGCTAAGATTACAGTCTTTATTCTCAACAGTAACAATTCTCTTCCTCTATGTCTATCTCTCTAAGTCACATGATATTGAATATTTGAATGTTCAAGACGAAGGAGATCTTTTTTAAAATGGTAAAGACTAGAATTGAGGGATGCGTCACAGCAGAAGTAACAAAGTGCCCTGGTACCATTAATTTATTAAAGACTGGAAGTTTTAACAAGTAGTCTATTGTGCTGCCAAAGCAAGGTGAAAACTTTGAATTTCATCTAAGGGTTAAGCATATAAAGGAACTAATCAGGCGAAAATCATTGGACAAAAGAAAGCATTCTGTCATCTATTTTCAAATAGAGAAAGTTCGACATGAAAAGAGTATTATGAACTAACATAGTGAAGAATGAAGGTATCCACTCACGTTTCCCTTTAACTAGTGAAGAGCCTGATCTCAAGCCGCACTTTGCTCTCAAACAAGATGCCAGTTCATATAACCTATGCTTAATTTCCACTCTAGCATTGCTAATTACGTCTGCTTGATTTGGAATAGCATTCTTCTGAGGTTCCCAGTAATATTCTTTCAACCAATCAAGTGCCTGAACGTCAAAATCATGTTAAAAAAGCTGTGATCTTCAATTTCATACAAAGAATTGAAATGATTAAGAAGTATGTTAAGTCAATTATGGTTCTAACACAAAGCTTGCATGTGCAACTTCAAATGAATTTCCATTACTGTGCTCTCTTAGCCAAGCAAAAAGTTCATGCATGACAAATTCCAGTAAGCACTACAGTTGATAGATATATAGATCAAGGACAAAATGCTACCTTCATGGAGGCAAGACGAACCAGGTGAAGAGAAGGGAGATCACGATGAGAGCCCTCTACAAATAAAGAACAACCAACTCAGAAGAAAACTTATCCATAAGTCAAGCCATTCCACATCATTTATTACTAATTTTCGTATTAGGAATTGAACTCAAAAAATATGCATTGGTAAATAATCAAGGGAACAGATGAATACCCATTTTTCCTTTTTCTTTTGGAAGTACAGGAAAACAAGGAAGCTTAACCAATATTATGCATCTTATATGCTGACAATCAGCTACTACAACATCAAATGGTGATCTGCATAACCTAAAACTTTGTCGCTACATTTCTTAGAAGAACTATGTGAGTAAAATAAGAAATGAAGAAACAGGATGCAAAGTTGTTTACCATGACGAATATCTATGAGCATACGTGGAATACCAATAGCACCAGCAGCCTCTGCTATTGAGACCTCTGTCTTCTTGCGAGTTTTCTCAATGACACCATTGACAAGCCTTAGAAGACAAGAAGCAAAATTTTTAGCACAAGTTTAAGGATAGAATAAAGCATGCAAGGAAGATACATGAAGCAGGTTCTTAATTAGGCATACTTTTGCAGAGGTCACATAAGTACTTGGGCCACTACTCAATGACTGTAGTTTTAACTTTTAAGTATACACGCACTCATGGCCCTCACACCCCGTTTTGACAAACATTTTCTTTCCATCACACAGCCAATGAGGTAGGCAATAAAGAGTGAAGAAAAATGAAAAATGACATTAATTGGATGCCTTGGAAAACAATGAATGCAAGAGAAAGGCATAGACAAGAGCTGCTTATACTATAACATAGCACTACAGAAATTTTAAAAGATTTTCTTACTGTCTGCCTTTTATTTAATAAGTCACTTCAATTTTCTTCTGAAAATTTTGTATTCATTCATGCCAATCACAACAAAATAAAGAACTGGCACAATAACACTCTAAAAACCAAAAGTTTTTAAAATCTCCAGGGGTAAATAACTCCCCGAGAACTGAACCATTATTCCTTCATGTACTTAACCATCAGAGCTTAGCAAAATGTTTTCATCACCTCATTGATGCATTTTAAACAACACACAAGTATACCAATTGAATCTTCACCATTGACACCACAATTACTTGTCAATATTGAAAAACCCAGTCTTCTTGGAGCACTTTCATTCTAGTTTAAATAAGCAAGCCATATATGATGAGATAGCTCAATTGATCCCAGAGGTAAAAATACATTAAATTTGCTAAGTAATGAAGAACTACCTCATGATTGCCATACAATACAACATGGCCAGCATTTCCTCTGAGTCCACAGCTTCTCCAGGTAAGTCATGCCTAAACAGTAAAAATTCATACCTCCAATCAGCACAAAATTCACAGATTGCAATGTTCACGAAGGGCATGAATCAAACATCATGTAAGTACATTCTAAACAAAAAATAATAATAATAATAAATATTCCAAATAAATTATACATTTTGATGATTCATGGCCTTACAAACAGGTAAATACATAAAAACTGTGTCCTATTTATGAACGTTCATTTCAAAAGCATCAAACAGACCAATTCACTTTTAGCCACCTTAAACTAATCAAATTTGTAAATCAGGGTTACCTAAAAAAAGGATCTTTCTGCTGAATTTCTACAATTGACGCAGTGACTTCAACCACTACAGGCAGGCATCCCCTGCTCCGCCAAGCCGTAATCTGAAGAAACCCCCAAAAAAATCATTCTTTAACATAATAATAAATGAGAAAAAAATAATAAATTGATGAATTTAAATTTGGCCTTCAATTACTCGTTGGAGAGCTGAGGCAACGGATGGTGGAGAAGAAGAGAAGAGGGAGATTCTGACAAAGTCCCACTCGTCCCAGCTAATCCATGGTACCAATTTGAAGCTGTGTGATTGGTCCAGAACGACGTCGTTAGCAGGTGGTTCAGTAAACCCTAGCAGAGGCTCCATTGTTGAAGGGTTTTAGCTTCTATAATCTCTGTGCAAAGTAATCTAAAATGAAGTTTTCAATTTGCCCCGACCCGAAATATTATTGCTCCTAATTAAAATTGGATAAGAAGAACCGGACCCGATGACCCATCAGATTCTAATAACTACTAAAGAGTTTTTTTCTTTTTTTTTTGTCGGAGGACCAATAACTACTAAAAAGTAAATATGCATATTAGAGAACTAAAGTAATTTAGAATTCATTTTGATCTAGTTGAGATTTTATTTTATTTTATTTTTTATTTTTTTTAATATAGAGAGGGACGAAATTTAAGAAGTGAGGAGAGTGCAGCAGAATTTATTAAAGTACGAATTATGCACATGAATATTAGATATAACGGGTCCGTTTGGATTGTTTTTTTTTCCAAAAACTGTATTTGTCTTTGAGGAACAGCATATACTGTTATGTAGATCTACAGTGAAAGAATAATAAAATTGCAGCGTTTTTGGCAAAATACTCAATTGTCTTGTTTTCGGCTTTCCTTTGCCAACACTACCGAAAATCACTTTCCCAATTTGCTGAGATTGAACGCGAAGAGAGATTCAGAACAGGGACTTGGTCAGGAGCTTGTGCAAAGTACTCCTCTGAAGCACCATTGCCGGCCATCGAGAGGCGAAATTTGTGAGTAATCGAAGCAGATTTCAGCTCGCGACTTCAAATCCAAACCTCCTCTGAGCTCTAACCCCCTCTTCACTCTTCGATCCATCTTGCTAATACGCCCCTCTTTGAGAGCGACCTTGTCTGCAAGAGCCCACCCTCGCATTTCAATCCATCATGATCTTAACCCCCTTCCACAACGAATAGCACATCTCGAACCCCCACAGCTCCGACCCCTCTTCGCTCTTCAATTTACTGTTAAGGTTATGTTTCAGGCATTCTGCAGCTTTCAATTTACTGTTTCTGCTGCTTATTGTAAAGAATAATGTGTGGGTTGCTCAAAATTTGCTGTCCGGAAGGTTAAAAATTTTAGACACTGAGGTCAAAATTTGCTTGCTGCTTTCACTTTTTGTTTTAGCCGTTTAGAGATGTTGGACAGTAGAGGTAGAGATTATTTGTGCAGAGTATTGTGGTGGATGAACCATTTCTCACCAATGCTGAGAATGAACCACGAAAAATTGAGCTGGTGTGATGATTGAGACGATAAACTAGTTTGCTCCGAATTCGACGTCAGATTTGTTTTATATATGTTGAGAAAATGGATGATCACAATACGGCATTGACTTCAATTCATATCAGGTCTAAAATTTTGTAGTCCAACCGAATACAACTTTGGTTAACTAAAAACTGCCTATTTCTTCCTTTCTATTCAAACCATGACTTGAAGTAGTTTGTTCCCGCAATTATGTATATCAATTCATTCAAAAATACCATTCTGTGCATGCTGTTCATCTTCGATGTGCAGTTGGGATCAAATTGAAAGGGAATACCTGTCCTTCTTTCTGTGTTGGCAAATTTTGAGCTGTTAAGCTTTCCCTATGCCAGTGAGATTTCTGAATGACACCAGAAACCTTAGTAAAATCTTGAGTGTGTCCGTTTTAAGGTTATTTAAAAGTGAAACTGTACAGGAGGGAAAAGCTGTTGAACGAATAGTAATATGAGTGGTTCTTACTGTAGTTTGTGTTTTAAAAGTTAATGGAGAATGATGTGTAGCTGAAATTCCTGTTCTTCAATGCTTGTCGGGTGCTGTTTTGCCGGAGTTGGTGGATGCATTCGATAGTCCTTATATGCGATTAACCAAAATGTCTTACTTGCTTGAGATTCATTAGAATTGCCTAAATTCAGTGAAAGAAGCGTATGTTTCTGCTTCTGATGGAAATTATTGGCCTGGAGCTGCTTCTGATTGTGCTTTGGCATATTATTCCCCTCCATGAGTGTGTCCAGCTTTGCTAATGCGACTGCAGTCATGTTTTCGTATTATTGTAGCACTAATTCTTGTGTTTTTCCCAAAATGAATTGTCTGATGCTATTTTTGTGATTTTAAATTGTCTTCTCCGACTATTACTGAGATTGGTATCTGCAGTCTAACTTCATACTGCTGTTTGGTGCTATAAAACAGGGTTGGTTGGTGTTTTCATTGCTGTTGTCTAAGGTTACATGCCCCCTATTACTCGCCGTGCTTCCAAAGGTATAGTTTGCGTGGTTCTGACTTTGTTCACTGCCTTGTTTAGTGTGACTAATTTTATTCCTCAATGAACACAGCATTGAAGACGAAAAATTGTGAGAATTGTTGTGCATCCAACTCAGCTTGAGGGGAAAACGATTTACAAAAGTGCATTTCTAACTACTACAAGGTAATACCTGCTAGTCCTCTACTTTCGCTACTTATTATTTCATCTCTGTCTTGCCTCGAGGTATAATTACCAACGTGTCTGATTGCCTTTGTTTATGGGTTAATAAGATGAGAAAACAAAGGCGCAATCCAGGTGGGTAGAAATTTTATTTCACTAGGCAGCATGAAATAGAAATTGCCAACTGCCTTGTCAGCATGCATAGAGCTAATGAAATTAAGGACAATAATATTGGTAGCTACATGGTTCCCGAAATTCAGCAGCGGTTGAACGGCCAATATGGCACATCGTTCACTTCGGACAGTATAAGAGCCAAATACTATGCCTTGCGAGAACTGGCCAAACTGTACATTGCCTTCAAGAGGCGGGAAACGGGACTAGGTTGGAATAGCCAGAACTTTACCTGGCTCATGGACGATAGCAAGTGGGCCGAGCTTGCACGGGTATATTTTGTCAAGTAAACTATTTTTATATCAATTTATGGCTGTTAAAAGTTAATCAGATTATACCTGCTGCTCCCTCAAATAACCTTTTGGCTGTGTTTTTTTTTTTTTTGTCACGTGAACCCAAAATTTTTAAAATTTCAAGATGACTGCACCGTCTACCACTTGCTTGAGGAAGTTTTTGTCAACTAAGGAGCAACGGGAGATTTCAGCGCTGGCTTTGAGAACGAGCCTCGTACTTCAGCCGAGGAGAGATACATGGAGAACGTTGCACGATCCTCACGGGGAAAGGGAAGGTCGGACTATGCGCACGAGGGTCTTGAATTAAAATTGGCGGTTTCATTAATCAAAGTTATGTCTTTTAGCAAAATGGTATGTCAGGGATTTGACACTTTATGTATTATTGTTTAAATAAATCTTATATACACTAATAATTCATACAGTATTATCGATTAGATTCATGACATATGAGCAAATTTTGAACTTTAAATTTTAAATCAGTAGTGATAATTGTGTATATACTATTAATATATAAAAGATTAATTCATGTTATTTTCCTCCTAAATGTCAACTGATAGCATGCAAATGTTGAGCATAAATACACAGCTGCACATGGTTATACAATATTCTATGCCTAAAAGCACGCAATTGCAAAGAATTTCTTTGTCAAATTAAACTCACTACTCCTTGCGGCCCAATCAAAATGTCAATACTTTCTATTTTGAAATGTCCTAAAACTTTTTATTCTCTCCTTTCAATACAATCCCCCCTTTAATTATATATATGTTATTATTTAAATTCAAATTTTGAATTTACTGAAACAATATAAAAAAAAATACAAATATTATAATCAGACCATTATTCATAAAAAGTTAGACTCCCTTTGATCATACGAGACGGATGAAGTATTATATTCCAATTCCCGAGGCCTTTATCCTCTCTTCCTCTTGGATTTGTACAACCAAGGAGCTGATAGATTAATTTAACTTTTTTTTGTGGGGTAAGAATAGACTAATTTAACTAAATCCAAAGAACAAAGCACCATTAGTACATATTTTATTCACTAATGGCACAACTTTACATAATAATCAAAGATTCCCATCAATTTTAAACAAAACCCTGTTGCATTCACCATACCATATGCACTTTCACCGGTGGGATTCCATATACTAACGACCTTAAGAACGCTGGTTATTGCACAACCCCACAAACCACCAAGAAATGGCCGCTCAAACTCACCTGTTTCATCCACTCCACTCCTTATCTCTGCCACTGAAAACCCGATGTAAATCACCTGACTTTAAACCCAAGCTAAAACCCTCCACATTCATCATCTCCAGCAAGCTCCGGGCAGCGGTGGTAGGAGGAGGTCCAGCTGGATCCTCTGCAGCTGAAGCACTTGCTGCTGGTGGCATAGAGACCTTCCTCTTCGAACGCAGCCCCTCTACTGCCAAACCCTGTGGTGGAGCAATCCCACTTTGTATGCTAGATGAGTTCTCCATCCCTCCTCACCTCATTGATCGGAAAGTCACCCGCATGAAGATAATATCTCCGTCCAATCTGGCCGTTGATTTTGGTAAAACTCTGAAGCCCCATGAGTTCATCTCCATGCTCCGCCGAGAAGTGCTTGATGACTTCCTACGCCGCCGTGCTGAGTCTTGTGGCGCCGCACTTATCAAAGGACTTGTCACAAATGTGGAGGTTCCCCTAACAAGCAGCTCTTCATATGTTATTCACTATAATAAGAATAATTCACAGAAATCTCTTGCTGTTGATGTTGTTATTGGTGCTGATGGAGCCAACAGTAAGGTGGCTAAGGCCATAAAAGCAGGAGATTACACTTGTGCTATTGCTTTTCAAGAAAGGATTAAGTTGCCTGAGGAGAAAATGGAATATTATGAAAATTTGGCTGAAATGTATGTCGGAAATGATGTTTCACCTGATTTTTATGCGTGGGTTTTCCCCAAGTGCGATCATGTGGCAGTGGGAACGGGGACAGTATGCTCAAAGAAGGATATCAAGATGTTTCAACATGGCATAAGAGCAAGAGTTAGGCCAAAAACTCATGGCGGTCAAGTAATTAAAGTTGAGGCTCATCCAATCCCTGAGCATCCACGTCCAGTTAGAGTCAGGGGACGAGTGGCTCTGGTGGGGGATGCAGCAGGATATGTGACGAAATGTTCTGGTGAGGGAATTTACTTTGCTGCCAAGAGTGGGAGGATGTGCGGGGAAGCAATTGTCAAGGCATCAGAAGGAGGTGAAAGAATGATTAGTGAAGAAGATTTAAAGAGGGAGTATTTGAAGAAGTGGGATGAGATGTATTTAACTACATTCAGGTTTTTGGATTTGTTGCAAAGGGTGTTTTATGGTAGCAATGCTGCTAGGGAGGCATTAGTGGAGTTGTGTGGGGATGAGTACGTGCAGAGGATGACATTTGAGAGCTATCTGTATAAGAAGTTGGCCCGGGGGAACGGATGGGATGACATTAAGATGGTCATGAATACAATTGGGAGTCTAATTAGGTGTGATATTGTAGGCAGAGGGATTGAAATGTTTGACAAACGAGTTCTTGCACAGTTGTAGTGTATCAGGGAACTAGTTAAATGAAAGAGAATCAAATGAAACTTCATCAGTACTTCCCAGAGAAGTACAGATCCAGGAAGTTTTAGCTTTAAATCACCTAAAAACCTTTTGGTATGAACAAATGGTTGTGCCATTACTCTATTTCAGTTCTTCATAAAGCAGATTCAAATTGTTGTTTCCAAGAAAATCTTTGCTGCGGTGGTCAATTTAGCCTTTCATCATTGCCTTAAGTATCATCCTGTAAAGTAATGAATAATTAAGAACTTGACTACATTATTATAACTTCTGGGTGCATAAATACAGCTTTACAGTGGAAAGAAGTGAAACATTTAAGCAAGCTATAACTTTTCAGCAAAGCTTCAAGTTGAATTAACAGTTTCCTACCATACACACACTATTTACCTTGATCCTAACATTATAGCCCAGTCGAGCTAAGAGTTTCTTACCCACTTTGTACCTCGATTCTAACATTAGCCAGCTCCTGTTTTTGCCTCTACTGATACCACAATTTATTTGTACAACTTATTCGCTATATGCATAGAGTTCAAGTGTTTCAAGAGAAAATCAAATCCCATTTTCACACCATTCTGTATCCATCCTTTCTTGACCCCTCCGCCCTCCGCCACAACCAATTTCTTTCTTCATGTAGTGCACATTGTGTTTGAATCTTTTGCGACAAGGTTTTGAAAATAAAAAAAACCCAAGTGCCTAGTGATGAAAAAGTAATTAGAGCAGTAAAAGGGTTAAAGCTTGATATATTTCCACATATAATAGGACCCAAATAACAACCTAATAGTTGAATAGGTGGCTATGCAGCCACCAATCATCCCTCTTGGTTAAAGACATACAAGCATAGAGGATATAGGCTCTGATTTAGTAGACGTAGTTTGCAGAACTTGGAGGAATATGTGCTTTGCTGCCTGTGTTATGCAGCATTTCTGGGACTTAATTTAGTCAAGGGAGAAGATTTTGAAAGCAATGCAAGGCAGAGATGGAGTTGAGGATTGAAAAGAATGAACAGGAGAAGAGCGTGCATGAAAAACATAGGCAGGGGGGAGGGGACTAGCCAAGGTAAGCCCCTTAATTATGACAGAGAAAAGACAAATATGCAAAGAGGAAATTACAGAATATTAAGGAAAAGAATTCACCTTATACTTAGAATCTCTCTTGATGAAGTGCATAAGATGCCATATTCTAGGCCAAAGAAGTTAATTCTTAAAAATGCAGAGAACCAAAGCTTCAAAATAGAATGAAAAAAATCAGTTTATGATGCTAACTAGCCTTTTTGATTTTAATAACTATTAATATACTACGAATAGAACTATATATGTTTACACATACATATACAGTACGGCCTTCAACCCGCACTTGTCTCCGAGACTCATACCTGACTCCACTCAAAGTGCCCTTAGCTAAAGGTTTTCTCAAAAGATTAATGTTTCTTCTAAATGTGTTTCAATTTTAGGTAGCCATGTAAATACTATATGTATGCCTCTGTGATTTATGTCAATTTCACTCTAAACATTTTAAAGCTTGGGATCCTCCTCAAAACACCAGAGTATCTTAATCTATAACTAACATGGTCTTAATTTGGTTGGGCAGAAAACAATCACAAGCATAAAATGTAATTATCCTACTCATGTTAGGGTTAGCATTTTTGTATTTTCAGAGACCCTATCCAACATTACTCCCCCAATTCAAAGAATTCAGACTCTCTTGCAATTATTCATGCACTGTTAAGCTGCATCTGTATATTAGCATAACACCAGAGAAGCCTAAGCAGTATGTCTCTCATAATATAACATAAAAAGGTTTGCTGATACACAACAAAGTCACTTAATACCTGCAATTCACTAAAACTTTTGCACAAAGGGTACTTTAAAGTATCAAGATGTCACTAATTTCACCAATGATCCACTTAAGGTCCTCTTTAAACCATATGCTTCAAATTCTTATTTGGCTAGAAAAGTCCAGATAACTTGCACCTCAACTGCAATTTCTCATATTAAATCTCTAGCACAAAGTAGCTTCATATAACTACTTTTTTTATATTAACCAAAAAAAAAAAAAAAAACAGCAATACAAGAACCCAGAAGAACCAAACCGATGAAATCCTTTTATTGTTCTATTCTTAATAACAACAAGATAACATGAAAAAAGGTTGCTGCACCATTTTTAATAAGCATTGCAATCAGACCATCAAAATGAAGTGCAAAAGGTCGAAGTTGAAAGAATGTGAGCTGTGAAACTAATAGACATGAAAAATACAAAATGATCTTAATAAAAGCTACCATAAATTAAGGAATCAAAACTGTGAGCATAAGCGAAAAGAGTTCATGGAAGATAAAAAGAGTTAAAAAGCAGAGGATCTTACGGTTTTTTTTTTTAAACCTTTTGTCATTCAGATCAGATAGAGCCAGCAAGATTCTTGGATGCTGACTTTTCCAAATAATTCCTTTAAGGTAAAAGCCCTTTTTTTTTGGTGGGGGGGCATCGCATGTCAAAGTCTCTTTCATGTTTACATAGATTATATCGGATAATTATGATACACTATTTCTTTGCTCCAAAGTTCTCAACGTTTTGTAGAACCTCTTCATTCTTGACATTGTACAAGCCTCTATCATGTTTACATAGATTATGTCGGACAATTATGATACACTAATTCTTTGCTCCAAAGTTCTCAACTTTTTGTAGAACTTCTTCATTCTATCATGTTTACATGATTATATCATGTTCACTTGACATTGTACAAGTCTCTATAATGTTTACATAGATTATATCAGATAATCATGATACACTAATTCTTTGCTCCAGAGTTCTCACTTTTTGTAGAACTTCATTCTTGACATTGTACAACCACTAAAGCACTGATACACAAGGCTGTACAATCTTCGAAACCGTATAGCCCTAGGCGAAGCTTATTGGGGTAAATTGCTTATAGAGGAGATAAAGGTTCTTAATATTCTTCCTAAATTTTGTTATGAGATAACTCAACTGTGGTCCTGATTTCTGAAGATAATTTTCCATAGACAGAATGTCAATGATCTTCGCTATTTGAAATGAATGAGTCAATCTTATTGCTCAGGACAGTAACACTAAATCCAGTGTGACAACTTTGTGAAATGATTAGTTTCTGCGTCACTTTGTTTTTCTTTTGTTGGTTCTTAGAGTTTTAACTGCAAAAAATATTCTAAAATGCTGCTACTTCAAAGGCATGTCCTGTGCTCTGATTGTTTGTTTGTCATTGTTTAACTCCTATGTTCAACAACTTGACAGCACTTTTCCCTTTTGTTTCAGATATCAACTCATGCAGGCTATTCAGGTTTCACACAGTGGTGGATTTGCTTTGTATAGGTCTTGTGACATATTCTACGAGTTAACCCACTATATTGTTCCTTCACGTATGCTCATTTAGATACTTACATTGAACCGAATGCAGTGGTTTAACAATTCAGAGATTTTAATAATGGAGTAATTTCTAACTCTTGAGTTTTTTCCAATATCACAAACAGAACTTATGTTTTGCCTGTAAAATGCCATTGCTTCAGGTCTATTTCATGCCTTAGTTTATTTTTCAGTCAAGATACTATGAAATTGGCTATGTCTGTTGTCCTTCATCTTCTTTTGGTTAAAGAAATGCTTGAACATCCTCTGAAAGTAATGCTTGAGCCCGTTCTTAGTCAAACACATAGTTAATTAATGATTACCTGGATACAGTTCTACAATAAGAAAATTGACTTAATAATTGAGCAGAGATGTTGAAGTATCAATTTATATTTTGCGAACTTGATTATATGATTTCTGCTGGAATATGTTGTAGGTTGTCTTTGATAAGTGAGATACCATAATTGTGTTCAGCTGTTTATTCTCTTAAGAGATTTTTTCCTCACAGTGATCTTCATATTAAAACAGTTGTGGTATACTGGAAGGTAAAATTATACAGATTTTGTAAATCTTGTTAAATCCCATGGTCATCTTTTGTTTCTCTTGGTTTTCTGCTGCTATGTTTACCTTCTTTTTCCTTTGCAGTTTTTTGTTTCTTAATGACTTTCCATTTTCCGGTACAGAGTGTTTTTGTCGTTACTTGTTGTGTGGTTTTGGATGGTCGCAATTATGAAACCAAAGATTGAACTGGCCTTTCGATCTTAAAGAATGATGTTTTACTTCTCAAAGAGAATAGAGAGTGGCTCAATAAGTTTCAGAATTTATCGGTACTGAACTGGGTGTATATCTACAAATAACTTTATTGATTATTCAAAGATGATCATATTTCCTTCTGATCATTAGTGGATTTTGGCTATGGAATTTCATATTCTCTGTTATTTCACTGTGGCAAGAATGCAGATCATTTGTTAAACACCACATACAGGGAAGATAAGCTTTTGAGAAATGCAATGCAAACAAGAATGTGTATGCACTCCATCTCTGTTAACAGATGCATAAATAACCTATATCCAGTCGATATGGTGATAATTTGAATCTGGAAAGCGGCAACTTTACACATACCATTTTGTTAATGTGATCTGACCAACATTTTAGGCCGCTGATATTATGCTGACTACTGTGTTTGAATGTATTTACTATGGGAAAGTTTTATTCATTGATTATGGTCCTTCACTCGGTTTCTGAACAAAGCTGCATGACTATTTCTTTTTCAGGTTTCCCTTTTTCTTTTTGGTAAGGTCTTGTGGCAAAGAATGGCTTTATTTGTTTTGAAGGAAGTGACTTGATCTGGCTAAAGCCTAAAAATGTTTTGAGTGTTTGTTGCTTCCATAAATTAGACTGCTTTCTGTCTTGCAAAACACTGTGTGCTTTTCCAGTTTCAGCATGATGAAAAAAGCTAATGATACACTGATATACTCAAGAAAGAAATCATTGATTAGCAGAACTCGTTGTGCAGTAACATACTGGCCTTTTTGTCATGAACGCTGACACATTCTGGAATTCTACTTGCTGCCCTGTTCAGCAACATTGTGTGTTAAGGTCACCCTTAAAGCAACATGAAGGTGAGATTGTACTGAGGCAGGGCAAGCTTCTGCTGTTAGAGGTATCTATAGATGTTGGAAATTTACATTCTCGAGTAGTTTTTTAGGATATTCTAGTTAATGATGGCTATCATGTTGCAGTTTGTATGATCTTGTACTCTACCACAATTAAAACTTCCTTTAGGTCAATACTCGGAAGGAGTTAGTGTACAAGCAATAATGCTGGGATGGCCCTGATTAAGTGTTCACTTGGGTCTATGTGATATCACATATTCCTATACAATGGTTTTTCGTTTTCAACTTTTTTGTGAAACAGTCTTAATTTGAGTGACAAGTGGCTTCACGCTTTGGGAGGTTCTAAACTTTGGAGTTTTTGGCAATTGCTTGAAGTCTCTAATTCTTTTGAAGCTGGACGAAGTACCAATAAAGGATGTATTGTGAAATGTATTTCATTTTATATAGTGTATTAAGGGAAAGTCAGTTCTTCTGTAGCTTACAACATCGCATCTGAACCGAAGTTGAAACGAATACATGCAGGACATTAGCGTCTTATCCTTCCTTTTATTTTTCTCAATTCTAATACTTTGCTTTCTTTTAGGTCTTTTCTATCTGGCAGGTGTCTGAAGAACATAGATATTCTGAACATAGCAAATTGACAAACTCTTATTCAAAACAGGAGATATGTAATGTGCTTAATATCCTTTTAAGGGACTCCTATGTTGAAAGTTTGTTCAGCGAGCAGAAAATTTTCTTATCTTTATTCATTAGGATATTGTTTTCATGCAATATTTTGTTTCGTCTATTGCAATTTTTGTCATTTGTAAAATTAGTGCATGGTGTAGTTAAACTTTTGAGGAAAAATAAGCAGCTACAAACTTGTAATCAAGTCAACTACTGAATGGTAGATGGAGTTACATGTAGTCTCACAACCTATTCTTTGCTTAATTCTAGTCTCAGGTTGCTAACCAGTATCTGATTACTCATGCTAATAATCAGCTTTTCATATTTATTGCGGACTCCTAATATTTTTTTTTCTCTACTTGTGTAATTGATGGATCATCATGTATAAAAGAATGTCTAAATAGTAAGGGCACTGAGTTTGTGAAGTCAGCAAGCTGGAGTAACATGGTGCTTCAATAATTAGATATGCCCGCCAAGATAATTAGTAGACTAGTACTGATTGGAAGTTTTACCTGGACTAGGTTCTTAGCTTTATGCTTCATGGGCGTCTTACTTGTATGTTATCAAGGAAATGAATTTGGGAAATATCGTCTGTTCATTTGAGATTAGTTGAAAATGGTACATCTCTGTTGTGATCACATTGTCTCTCATTTTCATAGAAATATTGCAGCTAATGATTTTGCCCAAAATGTTTTCATGCATCCTAATCATACTGTTGATATTCTGTATACAAGTTTATAGTCTGTCATTCTATATATGGAAATGTGTTCCTAATGCCACATTGCATCTAATCATTATCTTCGTTGGTGTGTGTCATTTAGTCACGAGTAGCGCTGTGCATGGTGGTGCAAATTGGATAAACTCTGTATGTGTATTTTGTTTTTCCAATTTACCAGATACTTTGATCAATTTGTCTCCTTGTTAGGTTCCCTGTTTCTTTAGTGTCATCAGTGTCAATAAATATCAATAGTTTTTAGGCAATAAAGCATTATGAGACTTTTTTTTTTTGTTTTTTAGGGGGGGGGGGTGGTATAAAAAATTGATGACATGTTTGTCCTGGGCCTACATCATCCCTTACCTTCTACAAACACCCATATAATACATAAGATTTTTCATTTGAAGTTATAATACTGTAGTATTCCTAGTTGAATTTCGAACCAGTTACCGCAGCCTCGCATTGTACTTATATTTGCTGAGAAGGGATAATCAATATTGAACTAGTAATTACCCATTTACACTAATTACAGATGAGTCGTTTGCTTTATGGAACCCTTTAGTTGCTTCAATAATAATTTGCGGCGGCCTGCTGCTGCATAGCAATTGGTGGTCTTGCTGCAGGCCTTTCTTTCATTTTGTCGTAATGTTATCTGTGTTATAAAATAGATGCGCGCTTTTGGAAAATTCTCTGCCCTGGAGCTAGGATGGCTAGAGGGTCATAAGTCGATTTCCTCTGTGTGAAGACTTCCCACCGTTGACCAAAATGGGCCTGCCATTGTTCCTGCGTGGTATAATGAGCTAGATATTGTTTAACTCCAAGGTGGGCCACTGCACAGAAGTCTAAAATTCTTTTGTTCAAAGTTAAGAAGTGTTCTAAGCCATTAGTTCCAGCGGATGAAGGAACTGCATGGAAAAGGAACGCCACCATGTAGAAAATATCTTCTTCTGGGAAAACAAATGAAGTTCTGTTGTCCCACCTGTAAAATATGCAAATTATTTTATTAAGAAATATGACCCTTTAAAATTCAGTTGTTGAGTTGACGTTTGTATGAGACTTTTACTTTGATTTGTTAACTGGGTAGATGAGCACAGGCCCGCTCTTCGTATCTTTCAGAATATTGCCGAAAACTCCTTGAGCAAAATATTTTATTTTGCTTCTGGGGATGAGAAGATTTAGCCATGGGTGCGGAACATCCCACATTCCTTTCGATCGTAGTTTTAACTCTGAGGTATGAACTCTATCCAGGAACTCGACATATGAGACTTCTGTCATAAGAAGTGTTGATTGGATATAGCTTAGCTTTGATAGTAAATTCTCAACTTCCTGCATAGAGAAAAAGCTGTGAGACTCATTTGGTTAACATACTGAGAAGGTAGAATCAAGTAGATCATAGTGCCACGGTATGCTCACCTTGTTTGCTGTGTCAACCTCGTCAGGATTGAAATTTTTGGTTAACTCAAGGCAGAACAGTGTTCTTCCATCTGAAACGAATTTACTTGCTTGGGCTGGGTCTTGAGGGCTGAAGGATGATCTCCAGCTATTTAAGACATCAGTCCTGTTTATTATCACAAGTCCTTCAATGTAATCAAATGTGTGTTCTGCAGATATCAAAAGCTCCTGGTCTCGGGAAAATGTGGAGAAATCTGAGTAGAGCACCCTGATCCATTTGACCTGGTGATAATTGAAGAATAATCTTTATAAGACTGAAGCTTCCTTTAAGATGCTTTCTTTATAGGATCATTGCATTATATAATTACCATCTTTGGTGCTGGCTCCAGGGAGATTCTTGCTTTGGTTATTATCCCGAATTGCCCAAGTCCTCCAAGAACACTGTGAAAGAGGTCAGCATTCTGCTTCTCTGAGCAATTGACTACTTCTCCCTTTCCTGCAATCAGTTCCATCCTCTTTTTAATAAGTATTACTTCAAACAAGATTGTTTAATGATTAGATAATTCTTTCCAAAAAGTAAAGTTTTTTTTGAGGGAAATATTTGTCAATTTGCAGCTCATGAGACTAGGAGAAGTGGTAAGTTGCGTCTGTAGTTACCCGCTACTAGAAAATAAGATGGGACAAATGAAAAGCCACCACCTATGCGGTCTTCTTAATTAACCTTTTGACCCCGTCTTTTGTTCTACAAACTATAGCATCAAAAGGTTCTTGTTTTCCCATACAAACCTGTAACAACCTCCAGCTGGTGGACATTACTGATCTGGGGGCCATGGCGAAATGCTTGCCCGCTTATTCCTGCATTTGACAGCGTACCACCAACCGTGAGATGAAGGTAGTCTGTCCAAGACTTCGGTGCTAGCCCATGTTTTAAGCTTTCATGCAAAATATTGATCCACAGGTCACCAGCGGACACATCCACATAAGGCAGTTGTCCTGTATTGAACTGCATTACTTGTCCACCAAGGGACTCCATGTTAATCACGATACCTTGGTCAGCTTGCGCCTGACCGCGGGTGGAGTGGCCATGGCCTCTAGCTGCAACTGTCAGCTTTGAAAGGGGACCCATATGCCAAATATGCTTTATGGTGTTTGCAATATCAGAAACTGATTTCGGATGTAGGACTGCCAAAGGCAGGAAATGGTACTGATTTCCGTAGTCTCTAGCTGCAAATTCATTTTCTGTAAAAGTGAAATTTCCTTCAAGAGGAAGTGCTCTCAATGAAGTTGGGACGCTAGAGAAACAGAAATCGACTCGAATAGTTGCACAACTCAGTAACAAAATCATGAGAGTTCTAATGAACAGGATGTTGTTGTGTTTGGCAAAGCTAACATATGGGAAGTTCATTGTTTCTATCCTTCTACAGAGACTTGAAAGGCAGGGATTGAAGGTTTTTAAATTTCCGTGTACGTTCTCTGGATGTAAGAGGGAAGGTAGAGGTACACGGTTCAAAGGCCTGAGGAGGGAATTTAAAGAGAGATTTGGGTGGCAGAGTCAACCTATCTTCAGTGTCAAGAATCCGTAAGAAGACTGCCTACTTTGTTATAGGAGGAGTTTGATGGTTTTACTTTTAGTTCTTTATAATCTTGACTCTATAGTTGCCAACTAAAAGCCATCACACATGCCAAGTTGAAGAGAAAAGTTAACAAGCAAGAAACATTTCACCGGTCTTTGCCCCTTTTTTACACAATTTCAACCATATTTTCACCCTTTCCATCAAAGACAAAGATGTCATGGTCCTGATCTATCTCATTTACCACGTTTGAGGATCACTGTACCATTTATAGCAAAAGGTACTGGCCTCACCAGAAAGTGCACCCTTCTTTCCTCCGGTCCTTTTACTTCCTCCTATGGGCTATGGCTGGCTGAAGTTTGTGTCTTAATTGCACTGATTTGATCATTTTATTCCTTGAAGCCATTGTTGTTGAAAAGCAAACATCGCGTATCTAATTTCAGATTGGATGAGAAGGACTGGGTGACCAGCCCTGGATCATTTTGCAGGCATGGCCTCAACGGGTCCACGGGACACGTGAATTTCCAAAAGAATTTTGTGCTTGGTTGGGGGAAGAGCTGTGATTTGCTATGCTTGGGACCTCTTTTTGCCACTGTCCTCAGCCTAAGAAGATGAAAACTGGACACGGAAAGGACATCTTGGAGGAAAATCTTAAGATCTATCTTTGAAGATATGTGTATACTGTTGTTTTGGTGCCTTTGTTCCCAACAAAAGAACAAAAGCTGGAATCCTTCTCTGTTCAGGACGATAGTGTTTGATTTGTAATTTGAAAACCAGCTAGTGCTTATGTATCATCATTAACAAATTTTCCTTTGTTTATGTATTGCGTTTTTGCATGTTGATAGAACCCTCTTTGTTGCTTCAAATTAGAGTATTTCCTGATAGGCCCTGAAATCAGATTCAGTAAATATAATAAGAATTTAGATGCTGCCTTTCACAGAGACGGTATTTTCTTTTGTGAACACGGGTTCAGCAGCAGGGGTAGATTCACATATGTGGCTCTTCTTGCTGGAGGATCATTTTGTCTTTGAAAGCTAGATCGAACTGTTTCAAGGTCCATGATGCATCATTTTCAGTATTATATGGAAAGCTCCGAAATAGATTTTCTATTATTTCGCTGACACCAACTCAACGATATCATAGATACGTGTGTGTATATATACACGCACGTACACTTACCTTATTTCCTTTTCTCAATAATAACAACAGAAAAATGACATGTCCCGTTACATATTGAGTCATCTTTATCACAATTATATCAATTTTCAAAGTCCTTTTGAACCGTCGATAATAACAACGGAAAAATGATATGTCACATTATATATTGAGTCATCTCTTTCGCAATTATATCAAAGTAAAAGTTTCAAAATTCTTTTGAACCGTCGATAATCGTTTCCTAAATGCATTAGAGATAAAAAAAAATGTCACTCCCTTTATTTATTTGTGCGTTTTCTTCCCCTAATATTTGGCCTTCTTGTCCTAGCGCTCTCTTCTAACAGAAGATCAACTAGCTGCCAAAGTATTGTTGTTGGAGCAAAAGCCAAATGAAAATTTCTTGTGACATTCCTTAGAGCCTTCATTTTCCAAACCATTTGCGCCTGCGCCCATGGGACCACAAAAGTAAAATCTATGCGGATTCTAATGGACAACAAAATATGGAAACCCAAAAGTGGCCCTCATCAGTGTCCCAATCAGGATTCCAGCTTTGCATTACCCAAGAATATTAAAATAACACTGTAATAATTTGGAATAGATTATTGCACCCACTTTCCTCAGATTATGGATTCTTACTGTGAAATGGGAACTGGCTAGAAGCAATAGTTCTTTTCGCTTGGTGGTTCCCAACCTAATCCTCATGCCACATTTATTCTCTAGAAGGAGACCGACCATTAGTGAACAGATCAGCAAGGCTTATGCCGACTTAGGGCATAAAATGAAAGGTTTACTATGTATTAATGATGATTGAAGTGTTGATTACATGAGAAGCAGCTCATAACACGATTCAACGAAGCCATATGCTCATGGACCTCTCTCTTTGTCTTTGACTCTTTCCCTTTACTTGTTAACCCCCCCCCCCCCCCCCCCCCCCAAAACAAAAAAACCACCATTTTTTTAGTAAAACTTAGTCTTAACTAGTTGAATATTGCGATAAAGCCCGATCGTTGTAAAAATCACGTGTTATATTTTTTTGAAAGAAATTCGATTCTTCGATAATAAACGAAGTAAAAATTCGTAATGCAAAAACTTTTCAAGAAAAATGGTAAGCGAACAAAAGTTTCTTTTTATTTTTCTTTTTATCTTGGGGTGTGTGGAACTTAGATTTGATGATTAAAGGACACGGATGTTATAAAGGGGGTTGGCAATTGTCATGAAGTAATTTGAGAATCTTATTGGTCCATTAAAAGATCAAAGATTAACGAATGATAACTAGACAAATTGATTGAGTTGCCACTAAGCCGGCCATGATAGGGTGGCTTGCCACGTCTCCACCTGGTCAACATCCTTGTCATCATGCCATTGAGGTTAAACTTTAAAGAAGATAAAAAGTCTTATTATAAAAAAAAAAACAAAAAAGGAAGAAGAAGAAGATAAAAAGTCTTACAAGTTAGTAGGACACAAACTGATTTATGAGCTGGTTAAGCCTATTGATTAGGGGATAATCGACATTTTCTTATCTTGTTCCCCATCCCACTTTCATTCCACTTTAATCAGGGTCCCCTTGTCTCATTTCTTATCCTTTGTGTGGAGTTAAAAAGCCTAGTTGTAGCAAATTTTTTTTAACTCGGGCATTCTCTTTCTCAAATTCTATTAAAGAGGATCCTAGAAAGAATCATATAAGGTGGCATGCCACATGCCTTGTTTAGATTCTCTTGGCTTGCAATAAAGAGATCATGAGGATCTGGATGTGGTTGAAATAACATTGATAGTTTGTTGATAAGACATTGGTCTGTTCATGGAGAAATGAGTTAAAAAAGCTTTGAGATTCTGAGATTTGATTCTAATCCCATTTTATTTTCCTTAGAACGACAAGTCACATAAGGTTATGAATGCATAGTTCTTGGTCATGTCAGCTGCATAAAGCTAGTTCTTGATCATGTCAGTTGTACGAGTCCAATGTACGCAAACTTGAAATTTATTATGTAATCTTGAGGTTTTAAGAATTAGTGGTTCTGGATTCAAATTTTTCCTTCCTTTCCCTATTTCCTCTTAAGTTAAATTCTCCTCTTCTACAAAAAAAAAAAAAAAAAAAACTATGTAATTTTGTAATTCTTTTTCTTTAGGCAATATAATGGCATGATTGTAGCTGATCGGCAAACCTTCAAAGTTATGGATCACTTGCAAAATATGTTGTACCCGACCAACCCTGCTTATGCTTTGTAAATGAACCCGAAGAATTACTCGTGGTGAGGATCGAACATCACAGATTTCGTGCCATTGAAGCACATATTTTGCTTTGCCATCTCTAGAGTAATTGGCCACCAACGTGAGGTTTAAAACTCTTCTTGGGTGTAGGTCAAGAGATTTGCATTCTTCTCTAAGATTTTCTGAAAAATTCACCAGCAGTATAAAGATATCCGTCTAGTCTAATGGCAATTTAAACCCCTCCGAGCTTTCCTTTGGCCCCTTTGGATCCATCCCTTCCCCTTTATACTAGGAGTAAGTGTAGAAGAAAAAATATCGTGTCAACAAAAACAAAAAAAAAAAGCACTTATTTATTTGCTATAATCCGTGCATCTCTTTCAGTTGTAATTGGATTTTGTTCATGCAGATGGAACAACAAACTAATGGTTAGCTTTTGCGATTCCACAAGTGCAAAAGCACAATTACTAGAAGAAATCACCAAAACTGTTCTAGTTAAATTACAATGCTTGCATCACTAGAACTAATCATTCAAAATTTTTAAAAATTAGAGGTCTTGGGTTCAATTCCCTTGTTCTCCTTTATCACTCCTTAAAATCTTATCCCTCCTTTATTAAAAAATTAGAAAAAACTAATCACTTAAAACCTTTTTTTTAACTTTAACATTAGTTGCAAATAAACATGTAGCACACAAAGAGCTGGAGATTTAACCTTCAAGTTTTATGTGAAGACAATTTACCTCTTAAACTTGACCAAGCTTGACAGACCAAGTCATCAAAAGCTAACCAAAGACAAGGTTATTTCTATTGGGAAAATGACGGAATTAGTCTCTCACATTTCCAAAAATATCCTTTTTTGG